ATATAATATTAAAAGATGATATTGAAAACAAGATTCAACTAAAAAAATAAGCCGAGTCAACCTAGGTTAATCTGTCAAACCTAGATAATGAGTCTGAGATAACGCTATAAAAAGTAAATTACGAAACTTATTTTTCAGTCAATCTAATATTAAAGGATAAAATTAAAAAAAAAACACACAAAAAACTACTTGAGTCAAACGACCAAACTCGTAATCTAGTTTATGAGACCAGGATAACCTCATATAACACAAACTAAAATAAATTATAAAGCCTAATTATCAATCAAACTAAAATGAAGGGATGGAATTAAAAAATATTCAACTAAAAAAGGACAAAAAAACTCAAGTCAACTAGTTTAATATATGACTTGAATTATAAGACCATGATAACCTTATAGAAAATAAATAAAAAAATAATAATTATAAAACTCAATTCTCAATCAACTCAATTTTAAAAAATAAAGTTAAAAAAAATTAATTAAAAAGAATAAAAAATAACTCGAGTCAACATAACTAACTCACAAAACTCACGATTTTGGCCATGAGACCAAGATAAATCTATAGAACAAATAAAATAAATTATGAAATTCAATACCCGATAAACCTAATGTTGAAGGTTGTAAATTATTTCAAAAACAAGTTTAATTTTAAAAAAAAATTCTTAAAACTTTTAAGGACCAAAATAAAAAAGACCCTAGCATTTTATTTTTCATTACTATAGTGAAATTCCAAGAACTTTTAGTATATGTTAAGAGGAACCCAAATATATATTTATAGTTATTATTTTGGAACTAGTAACTTCTAATTGATAGATTCAAGATTGAAGACTTAGAGCGGTAAATAAAATTTTGTTCTCAAGATAAAACTACAATAAACATTAAATTTAATATATTAAAGAGTTTTTTTCAAGGGTGGAAAGTGATGAAGTTGAAAAATTTTCGAACTGAATTTGGGCTTTTCACGGTTAGTTGACAGGTTAGATGAATGACTGAACTTAGCCACTGATTAATGAGCTAGCAAGGTGACTGGACTTGGTTACTTCACCATTTCCTGTAAAAAACAAGTCCCCTGTATAACAAGGAGACTCTCTAGTACTTAAGTTAGTAAATGATAAAGGAAAATGTATAGGAAATTAAAGGAGAATGAACTTTGTAGAGAAGTATATTTGTGATTGTTATTTGTGGTACGTGATTTTCTTTAATGGAGTTGTGTATTTACCAGCTAAAATAATGTATTTATACAGTTTGGTCATGTAAGCTTAACTCGTGGAAAGTGGAGAACTAATGAAAAATAATTTTTTCCCCTTACAAGTAACCTAAAAAAATGAGATGTTAGTTGTATTCCTTATTGTGCCATTTTATAAAAAAGTTTAGTGCTGGTGGATACTTAACAAGAAGGGTTGTTGTCCTCTAAGGAAACAAGCTTTCAAGGTATAGCCATTTGATAAAAGAGGTCAATATCTTTTAAAGAGACAAGTTAGTGAGAGATAATTGTTAATAAAAAAGTAAAAAGTCATACTAAAAATTCATGTGTTAGCATAGAAGAGCATGATTGTGTTCTGATATTTTTAGAGGTCATAACTTTGTATTTTGGTGTGTGCTAGTGCAGGCTCCTATAGACCAAGCCTAAAAACACAACGGATTAACTAATGGATCAAGTCATATTTTAATAAGGGACAACTTGCTGGTTTGTCTAGACTTGGTTCAAATGGTCAATAGATTTTTTGTCTACTTAATGTATAATGTTTTTTTTTCCTCATTAGAAAGGAACAACTTTTTTCTTGCATATCAAATTAAATTAAATATTTTAGAGAAAAAAAATAACACATACTACATTTTTTAACATTCCTTTATAAAGGGAGGGGGGTCAAATATGTTAAAAATGTATCTTTTAGGGATAATAATTGATATGCAGAGTTTTAACCAGGAAATTAATGAAATTTGAGGAAAATTTGCATTATCCATAGAGATAGAAGTTCTCAATGAATTAGTTAAAAATTTGGACAATTTAAGTAGACAAAATAGAATAAAATTTTGGAATTTTTGGCATAAAATTACCTATTGGCCAACTTTACACTATTGACCATACACTCAATTGGACTGTTAGATTAAACTTAGATTTTATGAGTAACCTCATTACACTTCTTTTTATCTTAGGTTAAACGTTCAAATCAATTAGAGTTTGGAAAGGTATTATAAAGACATTTTCAATCAAGTAAAATACTTGAAAAAATGACCTATGGGCTTATTATGGGTATTATTGTTATTTTGGACAAAAATATTCTTTTTCCCCCTATATACACTATAGTATAGCTTAGAGGAAGAGAGGAAGGCCAACTATTATCATATTCTTCTTTTGTTATTATATTTCCATGAAAATTAATGTTCTAGTAAGGGGAATGAGAGATTGAAATCCCAAACACCCAACACTAAGTCTAAGAAATGATCTAAAAAAAAAAGGAAGAGTGACAGTAAAGAGAGAGTGAAGAATTGGAAGAAAATAAAATTTGGAGGTGGAAAATTTAGCTTCGATAAGTGGAATTGACATCAACACTATAAAAAAAGACTGTTAAAGCCACCTGATTTACTTCAATTTCATTTTAGTAAGTTTTAACATTGAAATTTCAATTATTGTAAATTAGGGTTCTTGAAAGATTTTAGAGGAATTGAGAAATTGTATTAAAATGATATAATTTAAGTGTAATAGAGTAAAAATAACTTGAATTATGAATGTTTGAAAAGGAGAATTGGATGTTCATGCTCATGGGGGGTTTTGGCCAAATTTCATACATTTAATTTATATGAAAGTGTTAGAAATGATTTGATATGAATGCATTCTTGTATTTGGAATTGGTTAGGTTGAACATGCTAGTATGTAGATGAAATAATTAAGTGTAATCTCTATATGTGATTGTGTGAAATTAAATAATAATATTGTAGATTTTTATGAATTCAAAAGATTATGAAAACAAAAGAAAACGTTAATGTTTAGAGTTTGGTAAAGCTATCTATAAGAGAGAAGAAGTGAGAACTTGTGAAATTATATAATTGTTGTCTAATAGCAATAGCATGTGATTAGTAAGTATTAAATGAGGATGATGAATTAAGATAATGAATTCTTATGTTAGTTGTAATATGATTCTTATATGTTGTGATTTTGAAATGAGTATGGCTAATGATAGAATAATATGAGTATAGCAATAATCTTAAAAGTAAGAGGAAAATTACTTAAGATATTTAATTTAATTATTTATAATTATTTGTTTGGAAGGCTAATTACCATGTGAATAGACATGATAAATGGATTTTTTCTAAACAAAGGAATAAAATTAACTCATGGATATATATCTATTTAATATGGCCAAAAAAAAATTGTTGTACATTATACAAAATGAATATGTATATTTTATAATGTGATGTATAGGAAAAAATCATGATTGGATGAGAGAATCAAATGTTGGGATTATATTCTTGGAATATTGGTGGCTTTGGATATAAAGGTGAGTTATTAAATCCAAGGGTTTTGTTAGATGAAAGGCCTGCTGAGATTATATGTATGCATGATTGATGGGGTAATTATTGGAATGGATATGTGTAAAGAAATAAGGAATGTGTGTAAATGCGTAATATAATTTGGTTGTGAATTTATATTTAGGATATTTTGTATGGAATGATGATATGAAAAAAATCCAAATCAAAATTTATAAGTAATAATAAAAGTTATGTAGAGTTTGTAGGAGAAGCGTGTAGGGTAAGATTTGACTTCTTAAAAGCTTGGATATTATAAGTTAAAGTAAAGGATTGACCCTCCTTTATCTTTTTTAATTATTTCTACATACTTTTATAATTGTTAGAATTACAATGGTAATTAAATTGTATATTATATTATTGTTGTTATTGTTAATGAAAAGTATATGCTTTTTAGGTATAAGTTGATATGTAATTTGTAGTCAATTGCATAGTAATAATATGTGGTATATTACAATTTATGATTTATCGGAATGATAAAATTGCTATGCTAGAATTATTATCGACCAGATTGGAGTAATATGATTAAATGCTAATGTTTAACTTTGATTGATAAAAATAAAATTTTATTATTGAAAAGTCATGTTAATGGATATGACATGGTTATATGCCATTTCTTTTATAAAGACATCAAAAGAAAAAAGTGAAGTGAATAGTTAATGGTGGTGTTAGGTCATTGAAACCCTTAAATACTTTTTGAGTTTATGAATATTTTTTTTAATAAACATAAGCCATGGTCTTTATTATGTGCTTTTAAAAAATCTTTTTAATTAAGCAAACGACTTGAACCGATAAATAACGCTGTTAAAACATAAAGAGTTTTTCCATGAAGGTCATGGCTTAACAAACTAAGTTATTGTTTATTATATATGTTGATAAAATAGTTGCTAAAAAAAATAATTTTTCTTGGTAGAACTTTAAGTCTTGAGTCAAATCTTTTGCTGTTAAAACCTACATAAAAACACCTTATCATTTATCATAAAATAATATATCTAAAATGAAAGATTAAAATTAACATAAATAACTATAAAAAATTCAAGCAAATTGTTTTAAATTTATATCGAGTCAATTTATATTTTCAATATACAAAATAATCAAAAAACTGCATGCATTATATGAAATATATTGAGTCTTTTACCAAGTTAATTTTCAAAATACTTTCAAAAATAGCATTCTTTTTGTTATCATTATAACAATTAGATAGAATGAGCATTATCTTTGGAAGTCCATACTCCATGGTTAGCTCTTGGGAAAAAAAGGTTACTGTGTGAAAGCAGTGATCCATAGATAGTTCTCGCAAAATCCTTTATAAAAACAGTACAAAGAAGCTTGGCTAAATCAATTTATAATGCTCAGATAAGTAATTCTTAGGTATATGGTCAGAATAACCAAGAGAAATCATATGATTGCTTGGAGCACTACCTAGATTAACCGGGACAATTTAAGAAATTGCAGAACATCTTGAGACCCAAATTTAAGCTCAACCCATTTCTCAATAACTTTATTCCGTATGGCATTGGGATATGACGAATCGCTATCCTTATTCTAAAGTCTATATGTCATATACAATCCTATGTTACAAATGCAGCCAGAACTATACTGCATTATATGGACACAAAAATGTAGGAATGGCCTCCTCTCGGTACCGACTCCAACCTTGAGCGGCCTAAAAATACCTAATTAATAAACTACAGGGGCACGTAAAAATACTCGAGTCCAGGTTTATTTTGGCTTATATTGACACGCTATTTGGGACACCTCTACATGTAACTCCAGGTCCTGAACTAGGGGCTAGTAATTCATATGGCAGAACCCCTGCACCGCACCGGTGCTTAAGGCGAGGATCAGCATTCCTTCTGTCTATCTCCTTCTCGATCTGCTGCATCTCTGCCGAGAACTCATAAAATGCCTCGATCATTTCAGCGTCGCCTGACCATATTGACGGCTGTTGTCGTTCCCCTATGTACTCCTCGTCCGGTGAGTGTGTTGATAACATGTCCACCACAGCCATGAATTTTGTTGCTTGCAATAGACTTGGCAGTGCCAAGAGGTAATATTTTTGTGGATCAGCCAGGAAATTTGCATACTCGGGGTCATTTTCTTCGGGAATTAATCTTCTCATTAGGGGCGGTCTATTAGGCACATAACCACCATAGGGGTACTGCCCAAAATTGAGCGCGGCATGTTGTGCGGATGCAAGCCAGATGATGGTGGTGAGGACCGAGACAAGATCATCAGTGGTTTCCAGCTTGGGCCACCATTCAGCATCACGAAGATCGAAATGACCTACATTGATGGACTCAGAATACCATGCTTGTAGCTCCTTGTCATTACAAACCAAGCTTGAATCTGGGTAGTAACGCTCAACATAGGTGCGAACCCAGTTCTCGATTGCAGACCAGATTAGTAGCCCATCTTGGGCATATGGGTAGTCCTCAATTAGAAGCTTTAGACCGTGTGGTTGTGTCGGGTCAGGTACTGCCATACCCCTGCAACGGTGACAAAGATAAACTCATGTTAAATGCAAAGTTTCTACAAATACATGCTTAATCTCTGATCCATGTTGACCCTATCTTTGCGTGCTTAGGGGAGTAGTGTTTAGGAGCCGTTTATAGATGCCCATAAAAAGTAGTGCTTAGTAAATGTACCTGTGAATGAGATCGGCAGGGAGGCCTTCCTTGTCAAAACGCCAAGAGCTTTTGTAGGCAGCTGCGCTGATCTCCATACAATAGCGGCCGGGAGTGAAGCAAGACTCAATAACACCATCAGCATTGATTAAGTTTTGGCGGGCTAAGGCATTGATCTCTAGTGTATATCTCATGTGTGGATCCAAAAGTTTGAAAATAGGATGCATTGCACTCATTTGCCTGTGCGCTGCTAGTATAAATGGCTCCAGGGAAGCATGTGTACGTAACCTATAATATCATCATAACATTTCCATTAATCCGCCAACATCTAAAACCATGCATCATTGTTCAAGAAACTTAATGGTCATCTTTTGACACCTTGAGTTATTCAAACTTTTGTTCTTACCAGTGATTGACAAGCTGGTGAACACCAGCGTCGTTGGAGCAAACATGAGCCTTAGCGAGTTGCCAAACCCAATTGCTAGTCGCATCCATGGGAGGTGTAACCACACGCTTTGATCGGGAATTTGGCCCCGCTGGTGGGAGGCTAAGCTCTATAGCGATGGGCTTAAGTGTCCCAAGAGGCGTCAAGAAAAACATGGTACGAGTTGCATACGCTTTTCTACCATCAAGGGCATTAATCCGGTCCAAAAATGGGAGATAAACATCATGGTAATCAATTATAAACAGTTTGTTTTCCTCCAAGGCCTGCAAAAATCATATAATAACAATAATATTTAAAGGAGACATGATTAAGAACAAGTGAATTAAACATAAGATCTAACGAGCAATATCAAAAAAGAAAGGAGAAAATAAAGAACAAAAACACACGTGACAATGCAAGTCTTTTTTAATATAACAAAAGGAAAGGAGGAGATTTATGATTATCACCTGCGAAACGGACAAGCCATTAAGATGGCCCACAATGTGTTCTTCCTTGAAAGCGGATTCTTGCGGACCGTAAATTTCAGGATCAAGATTGCTTTTTGGTGGAAAAACCTTGAGGCTCTCAATGCTAACTGGGTTAACTCCTGAGACGGCTTGACGAGCAAATTCGTCGTCTCTCAACCAGGCAAACTTGTCCCCTGCAATAGTGCGAATCACATGATTGTAGATTTTGAGTAATTAATTATGTTTTGATGCTTACACGTGAATTATGAGTCTACAGGAAATCCACTTTGGACATGAAGAACTGTGCAGTGCCATTAAGGCATTGAAAACTCACAAACACGTTTTTAATACATCCAAGATCGGTTCCCGATTAGGCATCCGACAAAGGGAAATAGACAAATCACTGGTGAACTTTTTCTCTCTTGTAATCAAATGCTAGACACGAATATTCTTCCTTGCGAACAGCTACGAAAACCAGACTATCTACCTTTTTCCTTCTAAAACGTTTTGAGCGTGCATGACTTGGATCCCACTAAATGATGGCAAATGCGTGGTGGGCTGCCAGAATATTTACCTGTGATTTTTATTTATTTATCTAGTGGTTTTTTTTTTCTCGGGAGTTTAATAATTATTTACTTATTTCTTGTGTGTTATTTTTTTGGATTTTCATATTAGTATAATTTTAATGGAAGTACATCTTCAAGAATCGATTAAAAACAATCCATCCACAGCTAAGGAACCTAACTCTAATGAATAATACGATCAAAATTCTGGCTATATAGAAAACTTAACAAGTGAGTTTACCTAGTGAATTATACAATCAAGATTAATTCTATGTATATATATCTTGTTTTAATGCTAGATATATTGTACGGTCTAAAAGTTCCATAGTTCTTATGACCTTAAAGGAAACAGGTGAAAAAAAATGCAAGACTGGAAAAAGAATGATGCAAAAAAAAAAAAAACAGGAATCAAGTGTACTCACTGGAAAGGATCTTTGGTGTGTCATATTTGAGCATTCCCTCACTAGATTCTTGTATCTTAGTAACCACTTTGGGCAATGGTAGGTTCTTCCAGATTTCATCTTGCAACCCTACTTTAAGAAGAAGCCCTTCTTTGTAGAGAATATCAATGTCTGAGAAGCCAGTGAAGTCATGATTATCAGCAGAGATGGTTGCCTTCAGGGATGGTATTATTGTATGAAGCACTGCTTTAAGCCTCCCAGCTGAGAAAGCGTTTTGCTTAGACTCCTCAAATTGTTCATCTCTCGGCACGTATAGTGGCAATGGCTTCTCCACTCGGCTCTCTGCAGTGATATCTGGGACGCATGCAAGAAATTGTTTAGCAATTACACATGCACGAGATATCGAGATGTCTAATCAGTAACCAACATAATTAACCTCATTTTCTTTTCCTGGATTCGTAAGTTCGAATTATCAAATTATAGGGGGGCGCGGGGCGGGAATGGCAAGACCACACTAACCAGAGTCCATTGGGAGGCGACCAGTACGGCATCGTCTTGGGTATGGGATTTTTTTACCGCCAAGACTGGGTCTAGTCAAGTTAACGCTCTTGTCTGGATTTCCCAAATCATTGTACACATCGAAGTCGTAAATCCTATCTGACAATTTTCTAACTCCTTCTCCATCGCCCCTAAGATCCCTCAGTTCCTTCTCTCTCAATGCTCGAAGTCCAGCTGGTGTCTCGCTTGGTAAATATGGCTGCTCAAATGAAGACCACGCACAATAATTATTAAAAATATAAATCAATAAATAATTCTACTTCGTGTGTACAGTAGACGTGGGCCCGCAGTTAGCCTATCTTAATCGAAGTACATGAGACCATCCTCCTAATGAAATTTACAAACAAGAGTAGCATGATCCATGCACAGCACAATCAAGGACTTTTGAAGGTATCAGTGATCAGATGACAGTTGTCTTCAACAGTCACGATACATCAATACAAACAAACTGAACCGACAGATCCGTCATGTGCAAGCTCGTGCAAGGAAGACGGAAGTTATTACTTATAACATCGAAGTACAGATTGGTTGGACCTATATTTTAGTGGGGCGGCTTTTTGATATAATGTGTTTTTAAAAAAATTTAAATATATTAAAATAATATTTTTTATTTTTAGTATTAGCAAGTTAATAAAATTCAAAAATATTAAAATCAGGTTGTACTACGACCTTATAATAGCTTTAGTTTCTATTTTTTTTTATATACAAAAAAAGAAAAAATACAAAGGCAAGTTCTTGCCCTAGTGACCCATCCATATTCTAGTTGCTTGAGCCTCATGGGTTCATGGTCTATTATTCAAGAGAGTGACCCGTCCCATTATAGGGGAATCAAAATAAAGTCATTGTTCTTGCCAATTTACTTTTTCCTCAAGGTTTGTCATCAAAGTGGGCATTCCACTCCTTATTTTAAAGTGACGTGTGTGTGGAAATTCAATTCAAAATAAACTCAGTCAAACTAAATTAATATCCTGCTGGGAAGAAGTGGTAGTAATCTCTTGCTGATCACCTCAGCTAGAAAAGCAAGAAGGAAAAGAGAGTTGAAAATTCAAATGTCAGCAGGTTCTGATTTGTTCTACTCCCTCATTTGCATAGAAGTCAAGACCTAACTGCATCGATTTAATATCTGGTATGACCTTTATGAATCATATATTATTGAGCAAAAACATACAAATTTTATTTTTTAAAAAAAAAATCAAATCTAACCATATCATGCATTTTCCAAAAGGGCATAATTCCGAGAAGGAAAAAAATCAAAAAAGCGACACATACCTTATTAGAGAAAAGAATTCTCTTCCCAGGATGATCTTTCTTAGATTGTATCCATGAGTTGCAAGGGAAATGGACTGGACCACAAGCAAAACCTTCAATGGTGATACTCTCCAGGAAAAACTCCTGTTGATGCTTGTTGCTCACTGTGATTGCCCCAGGCACACCAAAATCGGAGTCTACTGTAAATTCAGCAGTGTAATGGACCCTCTCAGCTTTAAGATTTGATTTCTTTGACCAGTCTCTCAACGCAGCTGGCTTGCTCCTCTTTGGTTCCTTGCTTTCTACAAGAACCAATTAAGATCAGTGTTGAATTATAAGTATGATCCAAAGAAGGTCTGCAGGTATTTAAGGCCGTAATTAATTGTGTTAAACATGTAAATCAAGCTACGTTCTTTATATCACAACAAAGAAAACTGAAAACTGAACGATCAGTGATCATTCTTAGGAATCCCAAGAGCGGTGCTAATGATCGATGATCACCCTTTTATTTAGTACCCGGAAAGAGAAATACCACTTGCTTGACTTACTTGGATCAACGTCAGTGCTAATAAGCTCCAAAACAACATTTCTCCCAATCTTGTCGGTGAAAGAATCCAACTGCTTCACAATAGTCTCCTTCAAGTCCTCCTTGTGCTTGTTTCTCACAGTCACCACAGCTCTCACCTTGAAATTCACTGCCTTTTCAGGCACAGTAGTTTTGTTGTTGGTCTTAATTATATCTTCACTAATAGCTGCCACAGGAGCTCTCACGGCTCGCTTTAACTGCTCCTGTCTTCTAATTTGCTGCGAAGGCACCAAAACTGGACTCCCCAAGAACTGGTTCCTCTTAACCATTCCTCCCCGTTGCTTCGTCAACATTTTTGACGCTGGTAAAAATGATGATCCATCAATCAAACGACCCCCGATGATTTTTGTAGCTAGTGCCATCCTGTTTCTCTCCCTCTTTTTTCTCTACAAAGGCTGTATGCTTTTGCGGAGATGAGCTAAAAGGGGTGTCCAAGACCAAGAAAGAGGAGCTCGGTATGAGAGCAGTGGATGAGCTGGAGGTCTGTGAAGATTGCTTCTTCTTTTTTATGAATCTTTATGTGCCTGTGCGACCTCATTTATACATGTGTAACATCTTACGAAGCCAGAACGAAAATGATGTGTCCCTTAAAGCATTTCACACCGTCCACACGTTTTTAAAATTATTTAATTTTGTTGTTTTGACCGGATTTTTCTTATTTATTTATTTATTTATTTTATGCGAAGAGTATTTGTATTTTGAAGGCTAATCTGGCTGCTGGGTCAAAAACGAGTTTTGTCGAGTAAAATAGAGACGCGGTGACGGAGGGAAGGCGAAGTGAAAGGGGCGAGGTGTTCTCCGGAGAAGGACATGCGTGTCCTTGTCTTGCACTGAAATTGACAACCATGTCCTACCGTATTAAAAAGATGCATGAATTTTTATTTTTATTTTAAAAAAAAAAAAGATGCATGATTTATTGGATCTTTACATCATAGATTATTAGAAGAATAAATGATAAAAAAAAAGTGTTTTGAATATAGATTTGGATTGTCTTTAATTTAATAATTCAAATTAGATATAAAAAATTACAATAATTAAATCGGTATATATCATGTAATAAATGATGTTCATTTAATTTTATTTAGATTTAAGGAAGCTGAGAACAAAAGTTGTCAAACTCCCCTCTTTTTTTAACTAGAATTAGTGGATAATTTAAAAGATCAAAATCATATACACACACACACACGTAAAAGAGGTTTAAAACAATAAAGTATCCAATTAATCTACTAAAATAAGTACATGTAATATTAATACATAGCTTATATTAATTAATAAATAATCTTTTGTCACATATTTCATCTAATTATTGATGACCACCTATCAAATTAATTAAGCATCGATAATAGAAATAGGAAATATGTATAGATGCATCTTAACATATTTAAAATGAAAATCAAAGTTTCTATTTTCAAGCTTAAATTAAGAACGGAAGCATGATCTGGTGAAGTTGCTTCTAAATTAAAAGCCATTGTGTTTAACGTTATCTTTCAGTTACTGTTAAAATTCCAAGAGAGAGCAAGCTACAAATATAAAAATCGCTTATAGAATCATGATTTTAATGGTTTTATTGTTTTGAATCCAAAGTCAATTACGATCTCACTTGACTGCGATTTTTCAAGCTTTTTCAAATGTTTATCATAAGGTCATTCTATCTAACATAATTTAATAACATTGCTTGAGGAAATAATTGATAGGTTCAGATTATGTTTCTTAGGAGGACAATTGAAGGGTAAATAAAGAACATGGGTTAAAAACGTTAAAATTTTGTTTTGAAAAAAATATTAATAAATATATTTGATTCCAAATTAAAAATAGAATTCATTCATTATCATGGTTGAAATCTTATTAAATAATATTTTAAAAAAATTACTTAACATAAAACATTAATAAAATTAAAATAAATAATAAATAAAATATTTATTTAGCTAACACTAATTAATTTACCGTTGCTATTGCAAGAAATTTTTGGTAATATTATTAAACATGGATAAATTTAGGGGTTAACATGGTAACACATGAATCATGTATCTAGTAGTTATAAAGAGATTTTAAAATAAATTATACGAAAGTTTTAGGGGTTAACATGGTAACACATGAATTACGTATTTAAAATAAATTATATGAAATTTTTTTTTAATATAACTTAATTTGGTTAATTTGATTCAAACTTGATTTGATAAAACATTAAAATAAAATTATTTTATTATCTTTTTAAATATTAAAATCAAGATATTTAAAAATAATTCAAAATTAATGACTTGGAACTTAGATAAATCAGGTTTAATAACTTTATTTTTAAAATTTTTATTTATTTAATTATAAAATAATAAAATTATGAAAGAAAAATGTATTTTTTCATCAGAAATATATTTTTTTAATTCATGATTTTTTTTAATTCTTGACAATAAACTGGGGGGTTTTTTATTATCATCATCATAATTCAATTGTCCTCCTGGCTTGATTAATTTAAAAAGACTAGGCTACGATACATCGTATAGGGACATAAATGCCATTAAGGGAAGAGTAGAGGGCATGTTTGCTGGTGTAGGAAAGCTTAAAGCAGCAAATGGTGGCATGCTTGAATTCCTTTTCGCACATGTAAGCACCGGGGAGCTAGCTTCCTATGTTGACTGAATGATAGGTATAGTATATCTCACATGCGACCAGTTTGGCAGCCAGAGATGCTTTCATTCTCTCGTGTGCCGCCAATCAAAGAAAAAATAAATAGATATATAATATCAAGTTAATTTTGCAAAGAAGTTTCACTGGTCTGGCAGGCAGCTTCAGAGCAAGTCAGGGAGGAAATGTATCCTAGTTCATCACTGTCTCAGAATTTGAGAAAAACAAATCATTCATTATCTGAAAAGAACTACCTTTTTCTCCCTTTAAAACAATTATGCCAAATCTGAAATAATTAATGGCTTGTGATTTTTTTTATCTTGTATATACCGGAGATAAGTGTTAAACAGCTAAAAAACTAATTTATATATATATATAGACACATCTTTATTCTTTATATATTCATTATCATTTCATTTATTTCTTTTTTTCTTTTATAGCTTCTCTTTTATATATATATATAGAAGCTATAAAAGAAAAAAAGAAATAAATGAAACGATAATGAATATATATATATATATATATATATATATGCTGACTGATGGTTATCAAATCATATTTCATTTGAAAATGTAGTCTTCTCCGTATGCTTTTACCTAACCTTGATGTCTAATATCCCAGTAGAGAAGATTAAAAAAAATAAACTCTTTTTAGGAGGACTGAATCCTAGGTCAAGAAACATTTACTTCCAGGAAAAGGCTACGAACATTCCCGTGTATAAAATAATCATAGAGATGTTGCACCTCTTAGTGGTAAATTTGGTAATGAATATATAAAGAATAAAGATGTGTGTGCGTGTATAAAATAATCATAGAGATGTTGCATCTCTTAGTGGTAAATTTGAAAAGGAAATTAGAATAATTAAGAGTATAAATTAGACTAGGATCGATCAACTCCTAAATAAAACAATTAAAGAAGATAATAATATATTAATTTCCGAAAATGCAAAAATCGTTCTGTTACTTTTCGACCGAAATTCAGCCATTATAGTTCGTCTCCGAATCGTCTTGATTGGTGACTGTTGTACTTGATCCGGTCCGCATTCTTCCCTTGAACTTAATTCCAAGGAGAAAAGTTTTGTTTATAGGTGGACAGTCGTTGGTGTTCGTCCATTATTTCTCTGGTCGATCAATCAGCCACTTGGCCGCTCCAAAGTGTTTATTTTAGCCGCAAATACTGATGCAAAACTATATATATATATATAAAGACTTGAAAGTTCAATTTGATAATTTAATGAATTCTAAAGTAATTTCATCATTTTAATATCTTTGTTTTCATTTGCTTTTTAAGTGGAATATTTTTTTAGTATTAATAGTCAAAATAAAGTATTAATACAATATTATATTCATTTATGATAATTTAAGAAGCTAATTCTATATTATTTAGGGTTTGCTTATTGTTTAAATAGGCTTGTAACTATAAAAAAAATACGATTAACTTATTTAAAAAAAATGATATTTGGGTATGTATTATTTAGGAGGCAAAGTAAGATTCCATATTCCCTAGCATTGTGTGATGAAGGATATAATAGTTTACCCAAAAAAATTAAATAATTTATACAGACGTTCTAATATACCTTATATAATTAGACAAATTTTCAATATAACTATAAATTTTCAATTGTGTCTATTATATCCATGTATGGCATCCGACCCCGTAATATAATTTTTATCAAGTTTTTTTTTTTCAAATTAATATATTATATTTTTATTTTTAAAATATTGTTCAAGCTATACTAAAATATAATTTCAGAATTTAAAAAAATCTTATTTCTTGACATTTTAATGGTTAAATATTTTTAAATTTGTTAGTTTTAAAAACATTTTAAGCAATTTTTCTGTGATATTATTTTGTAACTTAGGAGAACTTCTTAAATGAAATATATAAATATGCTAGTATATACACACACATAAAAAAACTTGATGTATTGAAAAATTAAATAATTTACAATAGTATAATATATCTAATTAAGAAGTTGATGATGTTCAAATTTATCTAATGAGCTTGTAGGCAAAGCTAATATTTCAAATAAATAGTTAATTTTCTGGTTTTAGTGATTTAATCTATTTGTTTTAGTGATTTAATCTATTTTTTTTAATTAATACGGCTTAGTGAATAATTTTGATATTTGTAAAAAAAATATTATAAAATTAAAAACTTTGTAATGCTTAAATGAATATTGATTAAGGAAAAAACATTTGTTTTCAAGAAAAGAATTCTTAGAATAAATATTCAATATAAAATTCTTAGAATAAATATTCAATATAAAGTTACTCTTAAAGATTCATAAATATAAAATTATTATACTCATTATTTGATTTAATGTTCATTTAGAACATTAAACACATGTTTAAAACTGGTTAGAACTAGGTTTATTTTTAACATGTTACTAGTTCGAGTTTCATAAATTTTAAGATTATTAAAAATTTATATAAATATTAATTTTAAAAGTTATAAAATTAATCAAGATACATATAAATTAATTCAAATATAATATTAATAAAAATAATAATAATAGAAAACATGGAGCTCTTTACAATGGACAATCAGCACACAGTAATGAATCAATAATTTAATTTAAGCATGCGATAAAGAAGGATCACTGCACCCAATGGTGTTATGCAATGTCGAGAAAAGTCAACAAACTTCACGTGTTTAATTAAGAGACCTCTTCTTGTTTGCACGCCAAAAGAATTTCGCATTCCTCCTTGAGTGTCATACTTAGCAATTGACCACTTATCCCCAATACTCACGTTCTGACCACTAAAATTAACACTTTCACTGTTCTTCCATTATTTTGACTAATTCTTTAGCTTAATGGGCACAGAAACTGTACACACGCGCACCAGCTCCTAACCTTTTTTAATTCTATTTTACTTTGTGACATTATTACCATCGTTGGTGTTGTT